TTTGGCATGTTCGAGGTGAAACCTTCGTAATAAAAAATATTATTTTTAGTAGTGTTTATGAATGATGTCTCATTGTTAAACACATAATTTTTACAAAATTTAAATTAGGTTAACACAACAACAACAATATTTAACTTTCAATCTCTACAATAACAGCAACATAAATAATTTAGTAGCTAACAACAATAATAAGAACTTAACAACTAACATAAATAAATTAAATATATATGGATAAAGTGATTACCTTAAACCATGAATCCCTAATGCCTCCAAACACAATATCCAACATATATTTCATAACATAATATCCAGACACATATATGTTATGTTCTCTCTGCATCTACAAATATTTGTATATACTGGTTGATACATACAATGCACAAGTAATACATTAGTGAAAATATAAAGAATGAAGCAAATAATACCACTTACTTTTGCAAAAATGAATTTTGGATTTTATTTTTTTGATTACGAGGCATGATATTGTATCCCTCAATAGCTCTATACGTTTGAAAAATTAAACATAAATAAAAAATTATTCAAAAATAAATGAACGTCTTACTATTAATAACAATATCACTTACTTGCTATAGAGTTACTAACGCCCATAGAATAATCACATGATTTTGCTTGGGACAAATAATTATTAGTTGTCAATGACCACTACATAATAATCTAGAATAATTAGTAATGGGTAAAAAATTGAATAATAAGTTATATAAAACACAAATCACATATACTTGCGAATAAATAAATGATCCTACGTAAAAATATCTTATCTCTTGAATTAACTTATTTTGTATGTGCGTTTGGATATTATTTTATGAACATTAGAAAAATTAAAGATGGAATTCATCCAAGAAACCATACTTTTCTTATTCTCTTTATGCATAAAACTGATGCTTATACCTAAATGATGTTAACACCAAAATATGATAATAAAAGTATTTCAGAACGATGATTATAAACCAAAATCACCCTAAAAATAGTATTTACATTCACCAAATTTAAAGTACATTTATGTCAAGCCAATTAGTACCCTCCACAATTTCCCTAATACAACCCTTTGATATTAAAAGTAATTGTCCTGGTTCATGTTGTAATTGTATTTGGAATGAGTCACTCATCTTCTTTATTGCATGTTTGTCAGTCTTTGTAATAGATTTGGTTGAGGTATTGGAGTCTCAATCTTCTGATAGGGGACTGAAGGCAAACAACTACATTTTGTACTTGCACCATCCAAAATAATTTTATCAAATATTTCTAATTGATTTAAATTTGGATGGATAAATATACCAATCGATTTCAATTGCTTCATCATAAAAAACAACAACAACAAAATACATAATTTTAAGATCACAAACAATAAAAACACACAACACATATTTTTAATCAGATAAACGAAAAATAAAGTTCCTAAACCAAACTTATATTAATCGAAATCATATCTCGAGCCACAATCTCCTGCATCTCCAGGATCACACTCTCCCGCACCTCTTAGGTCACCCTCTCCTGCACCTCCTAGGTCACCCTCTCTTGCACATCCTGGGTCACTCTCTCCCTCATAGCCTTCAGTTCCTTTTTAATGTTGCCTCTATTTTCCACAACATCTTCTACTCTTTCTTCTGATCTACTAGATCTTAAATATTTTTTGTGCATTTTTCACTCTTTAACGATGATTCAAAATATAACCACAAATTGAAGCCTCGTCCAGCTCCATGGACACTCCCACCATGCTCATTTTTCCAATAACTTATACTAATATGTCATGGCATCATTCTGGAACAAAGGTACCAACATTAGTTTTTTCAACCGACGATTCCTATAATATAAATAAAAGTTTATTACCAAATTAAATAAACTACAATAAATAATTTTGAAAAAAGAGTCTACTTACAATCTTATTAGGAACTAAGCGTGTAGCCTTTGATGTGAACTCACTACCTAGTCTTTGACATGCTCTCTTACATTTTTCATGGCGTGATAGTGGGGATGGGCTATAATCAAGGTTTATAGAAGGATCTCCCAACTCCTGTTCTCTTTGTTTTCTTTTTTATTTTATCATTATCTCTTCTAGTTTATCATATCCTCCACGAGACAATCTATGAGGATATATTATTTCTTCCTTTTTCTCCTATCTTTTTTTACTCTTAGTCAAGAAATCAGAAGTATTTCAAGACTCGACAAAGCTCCCATAAGTATCCTTATCAATAATACTATAAGTCTCATATGAAGGGCTTAAGTCAATATTCTTTGGATTTGTAATTTAATTCATTGTGAATTGTGCCTTAAATCCCCTCCAACACTCACTGGCATATGATATCCATTTCTTTGCCAACTTATCATCATTTGGAATAATAAAAACATTCTACATTTACTTAATAAAGTTGGTATTAGTATTTAACAAATCATATACTTGTAAAATAAATCATGAAAGTTAAAATAAATATCCCCAAGATCTTCCCATATACATGATTTCAAGTCACTATCAACCTAGCTCAAATCATTTAACAAAATGCTCACTTTTTCTTCTACCAAGTAATGTCATGTAACTCTTAAAATTCATAGCAATTTCACCATAACACTTACTACTTTGTAAAAAAAAATCAACCAACAACCTAATAACGGTGTTGCTTCCTTTTGTCAACTTCGCCATCATCGTGGAACCTTTAGAACTTCTTTTATTTTTATTCTTACTAGATGTGGTTGCAGGAGAGGTGGTGGTTGTAGGATAGGTGGCGGTTAAATTGTTCATCTCTATTTAAACAAAAACAACAACAATAAACATTTTACTTAAGACAACATCAACAAATCATAAGAGCACTTCATAAGTATAACCTCATAATTATTTTACATAACATACCAATAACAAAGAAACCTAAGAACTGCATCAACAAACACACCTAATATGATATTCATGGTACATATGGTATATATTGCTTAACACATTCCTAACAATACTTCATTAGAATAGCATCATAAACATTTCACTTGAAATAAATATTGTGAAAGTGATGTCTAAAAAACAGAGTATAATTAATTTCTTGATTGATCCAATTCAATATGCTAACTTAAACAACAAGCTTAACATATTTTGACAGTTATACCATCTCTTCGACTTCAACAGAGCTCTTCGAGTTCGATAGAGTTTGCTACAACACTAGGTTATAACCAATAAGGTACAATAACGTCAACAAATCAACACTGAAAAAGAAAAACATATTTTACTTAATTCATGGTACACGTGAACTTTACTTAACTCGTGGTATATATGGATTTTGACAACTTCAACACAAAAAAGGAAAAATATATTCTCATTTTTATCTACATAATCAAATAACAGAATCTAAAGCAATGATCAATCTACATAATAAAAACTAACATTTCTAAGTTATGTGCATGGATAAAGTGAGTGAGATGCGTATCGAATACATGATGAAGAAGAAAAACCATGGTGGAAGAAACCTTGTTGAGATTTAATTATCTTTCTTTTGTTGCAAGCTAGGTTTGAACTTCAATAGCGTTATGGCATTTAAAGGGAAAAAACATACATGTGTTGGAAGATTTGATGTTCAAACACTTATGTGTTTTCGAAGGAATGAAGTTTTAAAAACAACTATGAAATACAGGTTTAGATGTTAGGGCATTTAGATGATGAATATGAAGATGAAAATCGTCTATGGTATATTTTCGTAAGAAAAACGTCTGATTTCATCGTAGAGTGAAGATGAATTGAGTATTGAAAATTAAATGAATAACTAGAGTCTAACTTTGTGAAATACATGTAAATGATATTTTCTCTCGATTGGACAATGCAAGTTTGAAAATTGATATATTTTAAATTAAAAAAAGAAAAAAAGAAAAACACATTTTAAAATAGATAAATGGTATTTTCTCATGATTGGACAAGCCAACAGAAAGAATAAATATATTTAAAATAATGAATGTGTCAATTTAAAAATAATAATAGATAAATTTAAAATTAAAATTAAAAAAAAATAATAACTAAAAAAAGTTTTTAGAAAGTAAAATAGATATATCATAAAACAAATAAAAATTGAAAATGCAATAGTTGGGATTCGATGCGTGGGATATGAGTCACATTTTCTTTCGATTTATTGTTAGAATTGAGAAAATAAGTGATATATTTTTTAATTTAAATTATAAAAAATTATATACTTAAATTAAGATATTTAAGAGAAATAATTGTATTTTGGTTGATTAGTTCATCGAGATAAATTTGTATTAGAAAATATAATGTTTATAGGAGTGGTGTTTAGTCTCATATCGGCTGTCCATATCTTATAGAAAGAAGATATATAAAATATTTGATTCTTATAAAAGATTTTTAATGCCGTAAAGTGGAGGTTGTTCAATGTCTTTATGTGGAGCCATCATGCCAACCAGAAAGTTGCAAAAAGCCAAACACAAAAATATCTATAGAGCAACAACACCTTATAGGAAGTAATTCACTAAACAAGCATGAAACATCAATTAGCTGTTGTTGGATGCTAATTATTATTTTGTTTGAATATATTTATTTATTCACTCTGGCATTCTAGAAGATTAAGATATTATACACTAATAATTCATTCAACTAGCATCATATCAAGGTTGTTTCTGTAATTGCATTTTTATCTCTCAATTTACAACATATATTTTTATAGTTTGCTTTGTATATTTAAAAAAAGACTAACTCTTGGAAGGCTTACAATATAACCAAAATTGAATATTCTCTTTTCCGAAAGAAAAAAATGGAGCACTAGATCACTAAAAGAATATGGCTGCAAGATTTTCTTGAAGCAATTGCAACTTGCAAATTTTGATTTCCTTGCATTCACACCGATATCGATTTGAGGTTTTAAATCAAGATTGAAACGCTCGATTTGAATCATCAAAGTCGAAACACGAGTTGTGGTATTTTTATCCAATAGTCCCGATCTTGTGACTATAGAAATTTCTGATTCCTTCACGCCGAAATTAATCTTATAACTATATGTCTAAATCACTCTCTGTGAAGGTCTGACTCTATAAACATGTTCTTCACCGGTACATTTATCAACCTTCACAATCCACCGACTTCGAACACTCTTCCTCATTCGAGATCCATATTTATGATTAATAGAAGTGTTTTCTCCAAATCTTGTCACCAACAACCCTTCTCCAATTGGAAGCAATTGAGTTTTGGATCCACAAGATCTCCATGACCCTTTACATCTAAATGCATTATAACCAACAACAACTACACCCTTTTTCTTATTACTATCAAGGCCAATTTGTAGTAATTTCACAATCTCTTCATGGTTAGCAAGATTACAATCAATTACCACAAAATCAGCTTTGTGTAATACCTCTAATTCCTGTGCTTCTTTTCCAATCATGAACTCAACTGGATTAGCAGCTCCTCCTAGCAAATTCTTGGATGCAATTAGATCTTTATGGTTGGGAACAACGCAAACAACATTTCCATTAGTTTGATTAGCAGCAGCAATTAGTGCAAGTGTAGTTGAATCAGCTGCAGCAGCACAAGCAACAACCATTAACTGTGCATTGTTTCCTGCTGCTAATGCTGATATAAATTCAGCTACAGATGGTTCTTTAGCCTTTTGATCCTGTTGAAATATAACCAAAAGTAAATCAGAAAAAAATATAAAAAAGAAAATATATAAATTGAAAAATATTAGCTACAAATTATTGTTGAGTACTACTCACCATTTTCAAAGTGCTGAGATAGGCTTTGATGGCATTTTCTGCAGACCAAGAAGCCATTGTTTTAATTTATGTGAAATTTTTCTTTGATGACTTTGGAGGTTGGAATTGAGGATCTTCAAGCTTTTATGCAAATGTTGTGTGTCTTGACTTTGAAGGTGGAGGTTATATATTAATAGGAGGAAAAAAAAACATGGAATTTGATATAAAACAAAAATACAAAATAAAATTTAGGTACATCTTGGGTAGGTTTGTCTAAGAGTTTCATTTTTTTTTTTTGTTATTTATTTGATTAGCTTGCTAGAGGTCAAAATATTCTTCTTTTGCAAAATTTCAGCTTAGAATCCTTAACTTGAAAGAAAATACAATTTCTTTTCTGTTTTAAAAATGGAAAATACAGTGTATTTTTTTTTGGAAAATACTTTTTTTTTCCAAAGTTTGAAACAAAAATGGTAAATTATCACACAAAGACAAGAACGTGTTCTAACCGTGTTTTGAGTCAATTAAACGCACTATTTTTTTTTTTTACCATGGTATATCTTATCACTTAAGTATTGTGTAATATATATTTAAAAGTTACAGACTATCATAAAAATTGTAAAATAATAATTAAATATTCAAACTTAAGAAATATAAAATTAGTCCCTTAAAATAAAGAATGCAAATGTAACTTATTTTATATTTTAATAAATTTAAATAATTAAAATTAATAAATTAATAGAATTAAGTTATTTTTTAAATATATTTAGTTTTTAAATTCTTTAACTTAATTTAATATTTTGCTTTAATTCTTTAACTAAAAACACGTTACACGTTAGTTCTTTAACTTTATTTTTGTTATCTTATTTGATTCATTCCGTCAAATTCTGACACAAAACGTTAAGTTCTGGTTATATGGATGTACAACCAGGTAATTGGTACAAATCTAAGTCAATCTTTGTATTTAAAAAAACTTATATACTAATAAAACTATGCGATTTGGTTTTTGGAGGTTAAAAATTCCACAAATCGTTAATAATGTGTAAAAGAATATACATGAAGAGGTTAATGTATTCATATCATTATATTATAAATATCAAACCCTGATGGTGTTGATAACAGGGATTCAAACGCAGTCGAACATTATGGTTAACGAACAAACCTAAGTCATTGGTACTGATAAAAAAAGGACATTCATGCAAATATGCAGAATTTTTCACAACAAATTATCAACTAAATCTAGACTCTTTAAATTTATATTTTTGCATACAACATACCATATTAATTTGGTTCCTCACAGAAAGAAAAGTAAATGAATTTGAATCACATGTCAATAAAACTCCAATCTAAACATTATGTGATATATCTATAATTACACAACAAAATAGACACTTTCTAACAGAAATATGTTGGAATTAATACAAAACTTTGAGTAATTCCGAATCAATCTTGATGAACAAGATTAAATCACACTGATCGAAATCTCATGTTCTTCACTCTTCACTTTAGTGAATCAATCAACCGTGGTTGCAAGATGATTATTTATACACAATAACAATGAAAGAAAGAAAATTGAGTAAAAAGAAAGATTAGGGTTTGACAGAAATTGGGGAAGATGATTTCTGCAGAGTCTTCACTCTTCACTTTAGTGAAGATGATTTCTGCAGAGTCTCTCTCTGTCCACAACCTGATCCCATTAATTTTGCAACTGCAAGTGATTACAAGATTATTATTTAAAATAGGGGTTACTCCCACTATTTATAATTGAGCTAGCTTGCTCTCTAAGCTAAAACTCAAAAATACAAAAGCACAAAATACCTATTTTGGTCTAAGTCGAAATCATGTATCAAGCAATTTGATTCGACAGTTCGACATCTAATACTACTCGACACGCACTACAGGTTTTAACTCATCCTTGTTTCTGTCGAGCACTACCCGCTTCGACACAAGAAATTACATTCTCAACGCACCAACTAATTCATTGTGTCTAAGCTATCTATATTCATCATAGACATTAGCTTCTTGAACACTTTGACTTGCACTCCTTTCGTCATGAAATCTGCAATATGATTCTCAATTCAGCAGAGTCCCAAGTTCATCTTCCCTTCAGCTACATGCTCTCGAAGATAATGGAACCTCATAGAAATGTGCTTACATCATCCATGTGCTATCGTATTCTTCGCCAGATTGATAGCAGACATGTTGTTTATCTTCATGTTAATTGCTTCATGATTCTTCCATGTAATTTCTTCGACCAAATTCACCATCCATGTTGCTTGACATTCACAAAGAAGTAGCTATGTATTCTGCTTTACATGACAACAATGTCACTACTGACTCCTTTCTTGAACTCCAAGCAACTGGTGCACAACCTAACATAAACACATAACTAGTTGTGAATTTTCTATCCTCATCATCACTACACTAGCTTGAGACGGTGTATCCTATTAATTTGAATTATTTTCCTTCATCGATTGTAGAAAACAAAATGCCATTGTCGAGAGTTCCTTTCAGATACCTTAGTATCCTCTTCGTCGCTGGTAGGTGTGATACCTTTAGCTTCTGCATGAATCTACTCACTATTCCTACATGGTATGCTAGATCATGACTTGTGTGACAAATAGGATATTGTGTTGTATTGACATCATGCTCATCTGTGTCTTTCGACAGTTGCAATCTAAGCTCAACTGGAGTCGAAGTTGGGTTGTAGTTTTGCATCTCAAATCTCTCAAGTATTTTGCCTTCATATCTTCTTTGGTGCATCATCAAGGCTCTACTTATCTTGTAGAATTTGATGTCAAAGAAGTATGAGAGATTTATCAAGTCTGACATTTCAAACTCCTCACTTAGGTCATGTTTAAAATCTTCAATCTCATTCTTGCAACTTCCTGCTATCAACAGATCATCGACAAAAAGACATAGTATAAGCAATTCACTATTGCTTCTTCTTACATATACTTCATGCTCAGTTGTGCATTTCACAAATTTCTTATCCCTTAGAAAGCTATCTATCTTCTTGTTCCAAGCTCTTGGAGCTTGTTAAGTCTAGACAGAGCTTTATGCAGCTTGTATACCTTGCTTTCTTCGCCTTGCTTCATAAACCCAGCTAGTTGTGCTACATAAACTTCTTCACCTAAAAGGACATTCAAGAATGCACATTTCACATTGATCAAACACATCTTCCAGTTGTTCATGTTTGTTAGACCAACAACCAACCTGATTGTTTCGATCCTAGCAAAAGGTGCAAAAACCTCGTCGAAGTTGATTCCTTCTTTTTTAAGAAATGGTGTCGCCATAAATCTTGTCTTGTGTCGAGTTACTTCTCTTTTGAGATTCAACTTCACCTTATATACCTACTTCACATCTATTTTCTTCTTTCTTTGAGGCAATTCGACAAGAGACAAAATCTCACCTCAAATGACATTTTCAATTTTCATGCAGATTTTTCTCCATGCTTTACTTGGGTAATTTACTAATTTTACTCCTAGCTTTACTTGGGTAAGTTCCTAATTTTAATGCATTAATTAATAATTTTTTTACATAATTTTTTATACAATAATGTATACACATTTTCTTTAAGATCACATTTTCTTACATTAATTTAAATATTTTCTAAACAGGACAGTGATAGATCAATATTTATACTACGCTTGATTGAAATTAACATCTCCAACTTTCTCATGTGCAATATGCTTCCTGCCATGACCTTCGCAATCGCGATTTTATGCCGGTAAATAATTATTTAAATTCAATCTATTTAAGTGTTTTTAAATTTTTAATTTTAATTTTAATTTTAATTTTTCTTATTAATAAATGGAATGATTTTATATAAAAAAAGTATGGAAATTATAAAAATGAAGAAATTGAGATGCCAAACAAAGGTGGTTGGAACTTTATTAATTGTGGCAGGAGCAATGTTGATGACATTATACAAAGGTCCTATTTTGGATTTGCTATGGACTACATATTCACCTCATAATAATCAAATTTCAACAAACATTACAAGATCCTCAAGCAAAAATAATTGGCTCATTGGTTCCATTTTACTCATTATTGTTACACTTGCATGGTAATCCCTCTTTGTGTTACAAGTAAGCCCTAATTTATTTTAGATCTCGATTCTCATCAAAATTCATCATTCGATTTTTTGTGCAATTGTTTAATCAACAAATTTTCACTTTTTTAAAATGAACAAAAGAGATATCACGTGTTTAAATCCAATTCATTGTAATTTGATGTCAATGTATATATATTATAAGTTGAATTGATTTAACATGACATCTCATATTTTGATTTTAGTAACATAAAAACGTAAAATTGAAATGTGAATTGTCTAATCTTAATAAATAGTTGATTATATGTTGTGTTATTGATTTTATTATTTGTTGAAATTATATAATTAATTACATTTATTTTTTTATTTTATTTTGTTGGACAGGCTAGGGCTATAAAAATATACAAGGATGATCAGCTAACACCCACATCATCACTTATATGTTTCTTTGGGACACTTATAGCTTTTGCTGTAACTTTGGTTATGGATCACAAAGTTTCAGTGTGGACTATTGGTTGGGATATGAATTTAGTAGCTTCTGCATATGCCGTAAAAACATAGAATAATTCTTCATTTAAAATTATATTTTTTTATCATTTAAATGGTAACAATTTTAGGAAAAAATAAAAAATAAATGGTAACTATATAATAATAAAATAATAAAAATCAGAATTTAAATATAGTCAAAAAAACATTAAAAAATACAATTTTATATATATATATATATATATATATATATATATATATATATATATATATATATATATATATATATATATATATATATATATATATATATATATATATATATATATATATATATATATATATATATATATATATATATATATATATATATATATATATATAATTTTACACATTTAAAAAATTAAATTAAAATTTAAATAAAATTATAAAATAAAATAAAATGACACATCATCATTATTAAATATCACATATGTTTCATTTGTGTCACAAAAATATTTTTAAAAAGGATATTTTTAAAAAATCAACGATACAAAAATTA